GTGGAGCACATTTTTGGTGTCTTACCTCCGTGATATTGCTGGAATATTGCGAAATGTTGCTTAAAAACTGACTCACTCGCTCACTGCATGAGACTATAAATTGAATTAAAAACAACCAGTCATTCTACACATCCGGGTTAAAATAATGATAAAGTAAGAGTTTGCCGGGACAAGACCGAGAGTTCGACATAAACGGGCATTCGATACATCCGAGTTATAACTGTATAACGTAGCGCAAGGTGGTAAGAAATATTTCCAACGAATCACATCCTACTGGTAGGGCGGCAGCATTCAAGACATGAAACAACTTCTGGGGACTGTTCCCTTGTCTCTCTGTTATCTGAGACACGCTAATGACATTTATATTCCCCATACATATTCAAGGTGTTGAAAGCTTTGGAAATAAACTTAATATATCATGTACAGTTTCATGTGCAATTTCCATACGGTGCCATTTAATACCAAGTAATTGTAGTTTCCTATAATTTATGTATTCTTAACCTTTTCTTCTATCTGCCAGCTATTGCCTGACTATTTCCAAAATATTTCAAATAATTAATATCATAAATATTAATTTAAAATAGAATTCCGAATCAACCCCAAATCATGGTGATTCAGAACAAAAAGGTTTAATATATTGTTTGTTTGTCTGTTTGTTTGTTGACGAGGCACTCGGCAATATTCCAGCTATATGACTGTGGTCTGTAAATAATCAAGTCTGGACCAGACAATCCAGTGATTGACATCATGAGCATCGATCCACGCAATTGGGATACGATGACATGCATAAACCAAGTCAGGGAGGCAGCCCCCCCCCGCCCCTTCCCCCCCCTCCCCCCCCCCCCCCCCCCCCGATCCCGTTAGTCGCCTCTTACGACAAGCACACTCACCTTTTACGGCAAGCTTTGGTTTCTGAAGGCCAATTCTACCCCGCATCTTCAAGAGTCGTATGATAGATTGAGAAATTCGTATCTTAACATGATCATTTCAGCTTTCTCTACCAGATATTATTGGGGTTAATGTGAAGGGAAATGTCAAGTCCGTCCCTGGCACTTTTGTCATCGTGGACTGCATAATAAACAAGCATAAAAGAACCTGACCAATTTGACAATCAACGCCATCCACATATACATATATAACACAATTTACAGAAGTGTGACATGAAGCTTACGCAAATAGTAGATGGTGATAGACGGTATGTTTGTCAATTAAAAACAATTCACGGAAATTTTGTCAGCTGGCTTTTAATTTTATTAAAAACAGGAATAATCTGCAACGTATTTGACAGTTTCGACTCCTTTTCTGTGTCTGAAATGATGTGACTTTTATCTCATAGTTACGGGGAACGCCATGTCTCTATTCATGCGCATTTTATAGCCGGTAGCAATATGAAGGGAAATGTAAATTGTATGCGTGCAGCTGAGATATAAGAAAGAGAATGTCATCCTCATAAAGTTGATTTATTATCTTATACTTTTTTATGAATCCATGAATGAAGTAGGTTGGAGTTTATGCGGAATAGATCCAGTTTTGTTAAGATGACCAGGTAATTGGGATTCTGAATGTGACACCTATGAAACAAACGGGGTGAATAAACAGAACATAACAAGTGTGTGTGTGTGTGTGTGTGTGTGTGTGTGTGTGTGTGTGTGTGTGTGTGTGCTGCTGCTGCTTGTACTAGTCCGGACTGTGCCGATTTATAGTGCTAGTTCACTGAGATACCATGCCGCAGTTTAACATGAATACCCCACTCAGACACAGTATACTGACTCCCAGCCGACCAGTCCATGTTTTAGCCCCTTATGCCGAACGCCAGACAGGATAACAACAAGTACCATCTTTTAACGTCTTTTGGTATGACGCGGTCGGGGATCGAACCTGTACTTTAAAAACAATTAGGTAACAAAAAAGGGCCGTCTGCACAGTTCCCACGCACTTCAGGGTTACAGCGACTGTGCCAGAGCGTCCTGCCACATAAACCAATCTGTTTGAGGAAATGTATCATGGAGTTTTTTCTTTGTCTGTAACGTTGCCTTGTGGCTGCATTACGACAGCACGACTATATCTTGTCTTACGTGCTATTTTGGGAGTACTGGTGACACATTGGTCTTCCGAAGGCGACACAACGTGGCGTGTTCGGCTCTATCTCTCAGTTGGCAGATCCTCTGAACCTTAAAACAAACTCACTCATATTGAATCGGTTGTTCTGAGATTGTGCACTGGGGAGTTTTTGGGGAGCAGTTATTTGTATGTGACAAAAGCTTCCTGTCCAAATTAATGGAAGCAGGAGAAAGATATAATAGAAAAGGTGTAGTATAATATCCTTTTAAACAATACATAAATTCTCGAAATATTTTGCACTTTTGTACGGAGGTGTTGGGTGGGGTTCGGTGGGTGAGGAGGACAGTGACGGGCTAATTATCTAATGCGCCCCCAAACACTGTGAAGACTTAGCCGCAAAGAATGCCAAGATTCGCAGATCGTGAGTTTGAATCTTAGGTTGGCCCCTATAATTTCCCTTAGTTTGCTATGCTCATTGGTGTTGATCAAAGTAGTACTACATGTATTGGACGTTTTAACCGTACCAATTTTGGGCAATCTTATTAGTCCATAGGGGCGGTCGGGTAGCCTAGTGGTTAAAGCGTTGGCTCATCACGCCGAAGATCCGGGTTCGATTCCCGACATGATACAATGTGTGTTTCCCGACATAGGTACAATATGTGAAGCCCATTTCCGGTGTCCCCCGCCGTGATATTGCTGGAATATTGCTAAAAACGGCGTACAATCAAACTCACTCACTCATGAGTCTATAGGAGGTCACGTTAGCTGAGCCCTGAGCGAACTTAAACCTCCAATCAAAATGAAAGCCAATATCCAATCAGATGTCAGCTTTCTAAAGGAGTTAGCTTTAATTATGTAACTCTTACTTTTGTCAACACATCGTAATTCTCAGTCACAATTGATATTCCGGCTTTCCAAATTTCGGTTTGGACAGACCAAACTCCCTTTCAAAAACACATGTGTTTCTTCCATAATACACCCGGGCCTACTTTATGGTGAAACACAGCGTTTAATATTACTTTCTTATTTTCCATTAAGATATGCCCATTAACTTTCAGATTCAAAATCATATATTCCGCTTCAAACGCTTCGATGTGGCAAGGATGGCCCAGTCGTCTTCGGTGTAGAGTTGCGTCCCTTAGGCATCAATAAACCAATGCAATGGTCTTGGTTTGGGGTCCCGGTTCGCCCCGAGTGTGTTTCTGGGTTTGTCAGCACCATACCCGTACTTGTGGGTTTCACCAAAGTGGTAAACGTCTGAAAGCAGCATCACTTCGGGCGTTCCTCCCACATTAAGCTGACACGCTGTGGTATTACTGGAATACTGTTGAAAGCGGCGTTAAACCCAACTCATTCACTCACTAGAACGCTTCGAACACGTCTCTCACACGTGCCCAACATTTAGAAAAATCACGCTGATTTGCTTATCAGAAAGTTCAAATGACGCGACTTCCTATTGGAGGACTCTCAAATCGTAACGGACAAGCTATCGACTTGGAGTTGAAGATCTGATTATAAATAGATTGTATTTGTAGAAACCACACAAACTCACGACCTAATATTTCATTGGCAATTTAACAAAATCAGATTCAGGAACATATAGTTCACCAGAAGTAAAATGTGAAAAAATAATAGTGCGCAGTGTGGATTTTCTCGCGTCGAAAAGACACAATAACTTGACAGATTATTTAATGTCAATTGAAATGTAAAGACTGATTCATGATTGTCTTATTCCAAATATAAATATTGTGGTTTTAAACCTCAGCAGAAACTCACAATCTTGTCGGCATGTTCACTGATATCCTATTTCGTTGGCTTTTACATATTCGTTATCAGATGAGGTATGCCATTCACAACATATGTTCTGTGACCGTGTGAAGCAGGACATGTTTGACGTCAATGCTCGAGTTTGCCTCGTATATTTTATAATGACGTATTCTGTTGAACTTTCGCTTGGGGTTAGTCTGTGAATGTGCCACATTTCAGCCGAGCAGACAGTCACACGCGTCCCTTCCTTCCACAGTTTGTTGTCATTATCAGTGGTTCATTGATACTCAAGGCACAGCTGTCTGAAAGGTCTACAGGTGTAGTTGTAGGTTATATAATGATGGGCTTCACCTTGGTGTGCCTTTTAAGACAGTTCGATAGCATTGGTTTGAGTGTGGGGGGTAGGGGGGTAGGGGGGTAGGGGGAGGTGGAGGGTGATATGGAAGTGTTCATTGTGATCTACACCTTTTGAAGAGACATACTGACTCCAAATTTAAGAGTATGAACCACACACTCTCACACAATCAATGACAACCCCCCCCCCCCCCCCCCCCCTCCACCCCAAAAACCAAAAAAAACAAAACCAAAACAAAAGTAACAACAACACAAAACGCGCTGCACTGACGTTCTTTAGTACACATTGTTCTTTCTTTTCATATGACGTCTTTTGCTTGAGTGTTGCTCCTTGTTATTCTTTTGTTTTTCGAATTCATTTGACTCCATTGCGTATTTTTGCCCTTTTCAAGTCAGGGTGCATGGATTTGCGTGATTCAAGTGATAAGGAAAGTTGTGTGAAGGTCAAACATATCAAAACCTGCTGTCCTAGTTCGTGATATAAACCTGATCCTAACCCAAATGCAAAAATGACAAAACTAGACTTCATTTATTACACACACACATCGGACTCTGGAAGTTGACAAGTAACTCAAGATTTATAATCAAGAAAAATTCAGCTAGCACAACTATAATTATTATCCTAATTAGAAAGAAATCATGTCTCATTTCACACAGAGCACGTAAATAAAGCCTAATGTTTTAAAGAAATTGTGTCAGTAAAAGATATATTCATTCCAAAATAATATAAATTTTATGGACATCATTGGTCACATCCCGACTGAATTACGCTGTCTAACCTTTCCGGATTTTAGCAAATTGCCAAGGTAGATAACTCTAAAATTTATTACCACAATTTGTATCCATGCCACGATGAGACCTGATGAGCATAAGAAGAAAAAGAACACACAGTATAAAAAGAAACATGGAATAAAGTCAGGAAAAAATGAAGCAACAGAAACGCAGCCGGATGACAGAAAAAGAAATGCCAGTAGTCGAAGGGGAGGCAAGAGTGCTGACGGAAGAGCGCGTGAAGTTGCTGCCCCGTTCGGATTTCGATCCGGACAAAGTTTTGGCCAAGCCTCAGAGAAAAAATCTGATTCCTCTGATTCTGACGTAAGATGACATCCGAAAAAATACATACATGACACTGTGTAATAAATTCGATAATCATATGTCACAAATACAGTGTTTCTCAGCGCTTCATTTGACGGTTCCTCAGTCATTTAGGGGACCAGACGATTTGGGCGATTTTGTACAATGGCGCATTTCAGCATTTTTTTAGTCAATTAGGTTAAACTGTAAGTCCAAGTTTTGTCAACATCCAAATCCTAAGTGACTGAGATTGGTCTCAGGACTGACACATCCAAATGTCGACGGTGTGAGGGAAGGTTAACCCGAAATCTATCCTTAGCCCATGGATCCCTTTACGATCAATCACCCCTTTACAATCATTAGGGTTAGGTAACCGTTTAGTGGCTATAAGGTTACCCAAACTCTATCCTAAGCCTGTGGATCCCTTTACGATCAATCACCCCTTTACTATCATTAGGGTTAGGTAACCCTTTAGTGGCTATTAGATTACCCAAACTCTATCCTTAGCCCTTGGATTCCTTTATGAATTCTCAACCCTTTACAATCATTAGGTAACCGTTTAGTGGCTATTAGGTTACCCAAACTCTGTCCTTAGCCCTTGGATCCCTTTATGATCTATCAACCCTAGCTTCACGATCATTAGTTTTAGGTACCCGTTTAGTGGCTATTGTCAGATTATAGATTCAATAGTGACTCCAAATAATCTTCACACAAAGACGTCGAGAAAAAAGTATGAAATGGTTTAATGTAAAATATTTTGGCTACTGGAAACTGACCTGGTACGTTCACACGAGCCACTTTCACCCACTACATTTATTCAGTACTGATTCAAAAGTGAACCCGCCCTTGTGTCGACACTAGCCATGCTTATACCTCCCTCTTCCGTACAATTATCCACATTATCCTGTCAGTGTTCCCTACCATGCTTTTCTGTCACAAAAATCACCCGACGAATTGTTAGATACCATGTCATTCATGCGTACCCACGAGTTCGACATTTTACTCCAAGAGCAGTTTTCAGTTCACGCCATATCAGCTCATTCCTCACCACTCGGTTACGGAATGGGACGTGCCAAATGGCATCGGGATCACTCCTCCGTTGTCAAAAGTCACATGACACCATGCCTACCCATAACCCTTATAAGCATCTGTAATCTATTCCACCCTTTTCGTTCAGTTCCGTAACGGCGAAGACATGACTAGGTCAATTTGCACTTCGTTTCACAGTGTAGATGTAGCTCAGTCAGATAGCTGTCGGGCTAACAATTCGTAGGTCGTGAGTTTGTGTCAGACGAATTCTAACTAAAACTGGATGCTGGTCTTTGACACACATGACCTGTGACAGAGATCATCCTCACGTGAACTTATGGAACTGTATTCTAAAGGTGCTCCATATGTGTCTTTTGCCCCTATAAATAGTAATTTCTTCATTATCTGTCATTGCTCTAGACTGAGTCAAGTGATCCAAGAGGCCCTGTGTATGAGCGGCGGACATTCAGCCGGCGACAGATTGTCAGTAACTGGGACAAGTATGATCTGCCAGACCAGGGGGAGCAGTCTGCTGCATCTCGGGGGGAGGACTTCAGCAGGCTGTTGTCTTCAGCAGGTCAGTATCCATGATGCATGATATGGGACAAATAGTCAGTAACTGGGACAAGTAAGATCTTCCGAACTGATGGGGAGGAGACTGCATCATCTCGGGGGAGGGGGGACTTCAGCAGGTCAGTATCCATGATGCATGATAAGGGACAAATAGTCAGTAACTGGGACAAGTAAGATCTTCCGAACTGATGGGGAGGAGACTGCATCATCTCGGGGGGGGGGGACTTCAGCAGGTCAGTATCCATGATGCATGATAAGGGACAAATAGTCAGGAACTGGGACAAGTAAGATCTTCCGAACTGATGGGGAGGAGACTGCATCATCTCAGGGGGAGGACACTGCAGTTTAAGGTCATTTTAGATGTTTTATATATTAACCATACTATTTGTTTCTCGACATCAGCTATCTATCAAGCTATGTATCTCTGAAAGAACTAAAATCTAGTATAATGATATAAGTCCTTCACATTGTAACTTGGGAGTTGTCTATATGTGTTGTAAATGTCTTTCAGGGGATGCTTTCGCCCAGTTTCGATTTAAGGATGAGAGGGATTGGGAAGATGGACCCTCCCCTGCTGTTGATAACAGTCAAATTATCTCCCTTGATTGTCCAAGTTTAGCCAAAGCTGTTGACTGCATACCGCTATACCGGAGACTCGGGGTTGACAAGGACACTTTTACAGTAGGTATATTACACTATTTGTTTTTATTGGGGGATCACAGATTTACTCCAAGGGTATTCGGGTTAGAATAGGTTCCCAGCAACCTATTCTGTTTGGAAGGGGCAGCTGAATGGATCAGGTGGTCAGACATAATGATTTGGTTGATTGCGTGTCATTGAACCCAATGGCATTGATTGTGGCTCACAATAGTGATCACTAGATTGTCTGGTCTAGACACGGTTGTTTATGGTCAGTCGTCATAAGGTTTGAATATTGCTGTGTGTGGTGTGAAATAAACACGGAATTTTCATGCCAACATCAGAAGTCAGTTGTGGGTGGGCGGGTTTGATTTTGGGGGTGGGAGAAATAATAGACATCAACAACAATGATACAATTGCAGTGGTTGCTGTAAATAATGGTGTGTTGTGCGATCTACCGATCACTTCGCATACGATTTCGCCGAAATTATTGTAAACATTATTGAATGACCTTTTGAATATAATTAATCAAATATATGGCAAACATTAGTCCAGATAAACAATTAACACCTTTTATTACCAGATATTGTAATAATAGGATTAAATTGCGTACTTCAGTCGTATTTGTTGACTGGTACTTCCAGTGTTACGTGATCGCGGTGATCAGCTGATAATGTTTTCTGAGATTGGGTGAAAACATCGTGTCATTGGAAAACTTGAGTTTATTTAATATGTTAGTAAATTTTGGGAGCCATGCTTTACCACACGCTATAACCGAAGCGTGCATTAACGTGGGAACACTTATGTAACAACTTGTAATGTGTGTGAAAAGTCATACTATAATATGCTATTTGAAGGGGGCATGGCCTAAATGCAAATGTCCGATTTTGGAATTTAAATTTTCCGAATCCCTGCAATTGCTGTATGTTATCATTATAAAGACTAAGGGACTAAACATGTTACTATCGCTGTGAACTCACATCGCTGTGTAACACATCACTTATTCTCTGAAGACTAAGGGAGTTAATTGAACCATGTATAAAGGATGAGGGACAGAACTCTGGTTATTATGAACGCAATCAGCTATGACTGATCGTCTGGGCTAAATATGAATGTCAAATTGAGCAAAATTAATTTGAACATTTCAAACAATAAAATGTTGGTATACATTAAACTCTCATGGCTATTTATAAGATAACTTTACCTGTTAATAAGACATCTACCTCCCCATGATTTGAAGCAAAATGTATTAGCTTTACAGAGATTTATCTAGGATTCCACACTTTAAGCCCCTGATAGAAAAATAGGAAAGAAACATACTGTGCAAAATTAAGGATTTTTTTCCGTTCATATTTTCCTATATTTACCGTAGAAGTATTTTTTATTGCATAAATGTAATACTATGTATAAAATCATGTTATTTTCATTGCAGCTTTACTATACATTTGAAATCAATAACCGTAAGCATAGCACTTTGGTACAGCTGATCGCTATTGCCGGATATTTTTTCATATGGAACAATTTGACCAAACCGTGCTTGTGATAGTGAAAACTTTATGTTGACATTTAATAGTCAAACTACAACAAATATGACTTTCAAAGAGACAATATATGGTATTTATGACATATATATATATCAAATATAGCCACTAAAGTTTGTTTCAAGGCGCCAATAGCGGTAATCTGACCGTTGTTACTGTAAATAATGGTGAGTTGTGCGGTCTATTAAATGTAAATTAATGTGTCTTTATTTGTAACAATAAGGTGCATTTTTGAACATGTTTAATGAGGGCCTAAATAGTTTAGACAGGGCGTGCCACTTCTAATGTCTGTGGGTCCTGATGGCAGCCTGGCAATTTGTTTTGTTTCATGCATTGAACATAAATTTGGAAATTTGAAGTTCCAGATGGGGAATATTAACTGACATTTTCTGGAGACGTATGACTGGCTATTACCCTGAGCAGGTCGAGAACAATACCTGGTTCCCCAGAGAAGTCTTTTTGCGATGAAATTATTTTGAATATTGTACATATTAATGACAATCAAGGACAAATGAAGAATGATGATGTTAATATCTAGATGTTTAGAGTTGTTGAAAATTGAAAATTTCTTTGCTGTAGTATAAAATTTGACCGCATTTATGATAAATGTAAGGTGCTGTTTTCGCATTTCTTTCAGTGTTTTCATATTAAATGACGATGACCCTGTTGATGGTAAAAATATAATTTTCCGTGTTCGAATAGGTCTTCAGCAACCCATTCTTGTCATAAGAGGCAACTATGCTTGTCGTAAGCGGCAAAAAATGGGATCAGGTGTTCAGGCTCGCTGACTTGGTTGATGCATGTCATTGTGTCTGAATTACGTTGACCAATGCTCATGATATCAATCACTGAACTGAACGGTCCTGACTCTATTATTTACAAAATGACATCATATAGCTGGAATATTGCTGATATTAGTTAAACAACAAATAAACAAGATAATTCCAAACCTATGTATTTTTCAGGAAAACCAGATCATTCTTCAGGATCTAGAAGCAAAGAAAAAACTTGATTCGTATTACAGCTCACCAGGTCTGCCAAAACCGAGTGATAAGGAACACTCTGATAGTTCACCTATCTTAACAGATACCACAGGAACATGTAGTCCCAACCTGAAGCAGAAAGCTAAAGGGGAGATAACTCTAACAGACTTAGTTAATTCAACAAGCACTTCTCTGGACTTTAGAAAACCAGCTCCAGGTTTGTGTAAGGATGGTGCACAGAGAACAGTGAATGTAGGAAATGTGAAAGTGGAAATGGAAGATCAAACTAAGCTAGATGATGATTTAGACTTCCTGTTGTCCCTGGATGCCCCTAGCAACAAGACACGGACAGCAGTTTCATCACAGGATAAGACTGGTAGGAATTTATGCTTGTTAGCTATTAATGTAGATATGGCATAGAGAAATTGCTTGCAGATAACTCTATCATGAGGTCAGATCAATCTAACTTGTTTTATGGATTGCCCACAATGTCTTTTGACCTATTTTTTTTGGCAAATAATTCACCCAAGCAAATAGTTTGATGGGAATGCGTCTGTTATCGTTTACATGGTTTAGTCATTTTGTATTCCAATCTCATTAAAATCAGATCTATGTTCTCGCTGCCGCTAAACAAAGATCTGAGGACATCCCATTACGGGTCACGTCAGACCGACCTTTCGCGAACACTGACCGACCAATGTAAATACTGACAAGAAGTCAACATTAGTCAATCAGAAGGCAGCTTTCTCATTCTTTACGGCACTAATTTCAAAGTGGCGACTACGATTCGAAAGATTTTTTGACAAATTCTCACTTAAAAATTTGAAACCTGAACAAAAGAACATTTGCGAATGGCTAATATATAATATATGGTCTAGACTGTATACATGGTATAGATTTAGTCGTTAAGCCCGTAACTATCGTTCGGAATACCCCGTTTTAAAGTTATGGAGGTTGATTAGAAATCACATTCTGACTATCACTTTCATGATCTGGTAAGCAACGCTCTGATTGGTCGGATGAAAGGTTGTTCTGACGTGACCCCTAATTGGTTGTCTTCAGAACTTTGTTTAGCGGTAGCGAGAACTGAGATCTGATTTAAATGAGATTGTTCGTATTCATTACGAAAGTACATATTTACTTGTGACAAACAGTGACTAAGTGAGTTGGGTTTTATGCTGCTTTTTGCAATGCCAGAGTAGGGGATACCAGAAATGGGCTTCATCCATTTAGGGAATCGAACCCGGGCCTGAGAAACAAATACTTTAACCACTAGCAACCCTTTGCGATAAAAAGGCCGACCCATTCTTGACCAACATAAAATCAGTTGTTTAGGACCTTTATTTGGCCTATTTTCAGTGTGGGTGGTATAAAAAAACCAGAAAACTTCCAAATTAGTACTGCTATTAATGAATGAAAAGCAAATATGTTTTAACAAGGCAAGATACCTAAAGATGATTTGATTATTTTTGTTTGTTAGAATATGAATGTTTGTTCCTGTTACTCATCATTTCTTATGCACATCGGGGCGGTTGGGTAACCTAGTGGTTAAAGCGTTCGCTTGTCACGCCGAAGACCCGGGTTCGATTCCCGACATGGGTACATTGTGTGAAGCCCATTTCTGGTGTCCCCCGCCATGATATTGCTTGAATATTGCTAAAAGCGGCGTAAAATCATACTCACTCACTCACTCACTCTTATGCACATCAGTGATAAGAGCTCATGTTGTTTCATTTCCCCTACTCACATACCAATTGTAAGGCAGGGTCAGGTAAACAAATGATAAATAGGTTTTGGTCCAAAGTGATTATTTCGTCATACTAATTTCAGCTTACTTTGGTTGGTTGGTCGGTCATGTAAACCAACTAATTTTTTTATCAGGCTTTTTGTATGATTTCTTTGAATGAAGATCTTTGCTTTTAACACTGTTTTTTAAATGAGGCAGCAACAGAAATTAAACATTGTGAATTATTAAGTCAAACCATGTTAGTATGATTACCGTAGTCCAGAAACTCAGCACTGAATTTTGAAATGTTCTTAAATTTTTGATAAATTGTTGAATTCTGTGGCCTGATCACAATACTTATAAGACCTATGGTCTAATATCGGCACATGTCTTGCCCTTGCTACAGATAAGCAGCGTATTTGTGTAAAATACCCCCCTCCCTCAATATTCAAAACCCAATTACTTTGATTTAACCTGCATACAGAAATGCATGCATTAAATAAAAACTCAAATGTATAAAAACAGCAATGAAACTGTTTCAGCATGTGTACAAAGAAGCTTATTTCTGTAACACAATTATGAGCTAATTTACTTTCCGAGTCAAGCCTATATATTTAGAACAATTATATACATTTAAAACATTATTTCATTTTTTTTTTAAACTTAAAATGTTCACTTATTTCAGGAAAAACCCAATAGAGTGATGAATACAAGAGTGAAAAAATATTGGTTACCCAATGAAAAATGTATTAACCCAATTATAATCGAAACCCTAGAGTAAAAACTCAATTGCTCAAAAGTTATCTTGAGCTCTGCTTGCCTCAATGGTTTTTCATTAATTTTCTTCTTCAGACTCCATGACTCCATGTATACAAAATTTCTTTCTATGCATGGTACATACAAAGGTAAATTATCCTTGTCATGATTTTAATGTCCACAAGTTATTAACCTTATTCACTCACTCACTCCACTCCATCCCTGTCTGCTTCATGCTTATTCACTCACTCACTCCACTCTAGAAAACTGCTTATTCTCTGAAAATGTATAATTTTGACAGAAACAGATATCTCCATTTGAATTGAAAAGGAGCCCCAGTGAGATTGAAGATTCAGTGTATGACACCAAGGAATTTCATTTACAGCCCATTGGGCTATAAAGAAATGTATTATGGAAGCCCAAGAACATTGGTTGATTGAGGATGGTTTTACGTCACTTTTAGCAATATTCCAGCAATATAATGACAGGGGACACCAGAAATGTGAAGACACATTGTACCCACATGGGGGATCGAACACGGGTCTTCGGTGTGGAGTGTGAACGCTTTAACCACTTGGCTACCCCTCCGCCCCTCCCCAACATGAGAAACATGCAATTTGGGGAGTACAGGGGCATGCACCCATTAAAAATTTAAAATTTAAACTGCGAATGATGCAATCTAGAGACATTTGGAGCAAGAATTAAAGACCTTTCTCAAACATATTTTTTGCTGTATTTTAAGCTGGATAAATGAATGAATGTTGTCAAATCAACAAGATGAACCAAGTCTGAACGATGTTTAAGTGTGTAAGCAAACATATCCATACGTCATTCTTACTCATCCTTCAATTTAATCGTCATTACAATTGGTCTAGCTTAGGCTCTTACATTGTAGACCAATCATAGATCTGCCAATTGTTTCGCACACTGGAGATTCAGACCTGTGAAAAGCTAGACTTGCTACATTTAGGATTTTTGCATTACAGAAAGGGCTTGGTGGAAGGGAAAATAATATGGTTCAGGGACTCGGCCCTGCTTCAAGCTAATTCGCTAACTCACTCCACTCCACACTACTCCCCTCTGCTTCAGGGACGTTCCCTCACTAGCTCAACTCCACTCTGCTTCATACTCATTCACTCTGTCCACTTCGCTCCACTCCACCCCACTCCTAATCTTCATAGGGTTTCTGTACATGAAGCATTTGAGATCATGTTTCCCACTTTGTGTCTTACTAATTTCTTCATGTAATTTCACAGGTGGTTAAAGTGTTCGCTTGTCATGCCGAAGGCCTGGGTTCGATTCCCCACATGGGTACAATGTGTGAAGCCCATTTCTGGTGTCCCCTGATGTGCTTTTGCTGGAATATTGCTAAAAGCAGCATAAAACCATACTCACTCACTCACTCACCCCATGTATTTTCAGGTACATCTAATCCAGTGACAACAGAGGCCCAAACCAAACCCAACTCGAGTACCAAAATAATTCCGTCTGCAGCCAAATCAGGTTGGTTGCATAGCAATAGTGATAAATGATGGAAGCCAAGTCTAAGGAACATTTAATCTAAAGACAATTTCAAATTGATAAAAATCCTGATTTATAATTTATGCATTACAAGAACTTGTATGAGAATATATATACGGAATATTCTACACTGCAGAGTGTATTCTGTTTCTTGAATCAGGGGCACGGCTGGCCCAGTCATCTAAGGAGTCACGATTCGCTGTGCATAGTTGCATCCCTAGGGCACGCCAGAAACCTATGATTGTAGGTTCGAATCCCGGTTCGCCCCAATTATGTTTCTAGGTTTGTCAGCACCTTACCCATGCTCGTGGTCTTCACCAAAGTGGTAAACGTTTGAGACCTGCATTACTTCGCACTTTCCTCCCACATTAAGCTGACACGCCGTGATACAACTGGAATACTGTTGAAAGCGGTGTTAAATCCAAACTCACTCACTCACTCACTGTTTCTTGAATGCATATTGTGCTTGTGATGTGAACGTTGTTATTCTCGTATAATGTTTGTCAGGTGGTGTCAAGGAGGAGGACCTGGAGGATTGGCTGGACAGTGTACTTGCTGACTGATGACACCCTCACAGACATATCAGCCATGTTCCTGACCAGGGGAGGGAGTGGTGGAGGGAATCTGGGTTATAATTGGTCAATGCTTGTCGTAAGTTGATCAGGTGGTCAGTCCCGGTGACTTGATTATTTACAGGTCGTCCTCATTCAGCTGGAATGTTGCTGAGTGCGATGTTGAACAACAATCTGATAATAGTGTAATAGAATTTCAGATTCACCCTGCTTAGATCATCTTCCATAGGTGAGGGCGTTAGCTGACTATAAAGTTCCAGTTTCCACCCTTGCCGAACTTGGCTGGAATTCCGGAGTTATATTTTGACTGGACTAATGACTCTATGCATAGTCCAATCAAAACCGTATAATGAACTAGACATCTGGTTTGAAATGAGAAGACTGCAGAATTTTCAAAGCATGTGTACCGTCAACTGGGTGTCCACAGATATTTGCAAATCTTTTCATGTTTTTAATCAAGGTGCTAAAGTGATTTGTGCAATTTGTGGGGAAAGACCCATTTTATTACACTACATTTCTTGATTATCGATCAGAACATCTTGACTGGGTGTCGCCATTTTGTTTGAAGCAAATGCAAGTGATATGAGAGATGGAATCTGATTGGTCAATAGGAGGGACATAGAAGGCCATTGGTGGCGCTACGATCGAGCCTGGAAATTCCAGCCTAATTTGGAAGATGGCTTAGATTCACTCAGCCCCCTGCTCATGGGTTTCACCAAGTGGATTAGTGTGTGGCCTATATCATTATGGGCTTTTGTCTACTCATAAGCTGACTTGCCTTGATGTAACTGAATACTGTTTATGGCAGGGTAAAACCAGACTCACTCACTGTGCCAGTAAGAATTTAAAGTATCAATTGCTGTGTTATTATATTATTCTGTATCGCTGATCATGCTGAATATATGATGGAGATAGTGAATTGTACACGGTGATGTGCTGTATGTAAATATATACATATGTAAATGCTTTGTATTAAACGTGATAAAGGAATTGTGGTGTGTTTGTATGCTTCTCACAGTAATGGTTTGTTCACTTGACAATGGCCATGGCTAGAAGTGGTTCCCAGTGACCTATGATGGTCGTAAGAGACAACAACATGGATCGGGTGGTTAGACTCGGTTACTTGGTTGATGGCATGATTGAAGTTGATCCTTGCCACAATGTCAATCACTTGATTCTCTGGTCCAGATTTGATTATTTACATGCCGCCCATATCATGTAAAAAGCTTGAATATTGCTGAGTGCAGCTTTCAACAACGACAGTTGACAATGGCTTGACAATATCCATGGCTAGAAGTGGTTCCCAGTGACCTATGCTGGTCGTAAGAGACAACAACATGGATCTCGTGGACAGACTCAGTTACTTGGTTGATCGCATGATTGAAGTTGATCCTTGTCCACAATGTCAATCACTTGATTGTCTGGTCCAGATTTGATTATTTACATGCCGCCCATATCATGTAAAAAGCTTGAATATTGCTGAGTGCAGCTTTCAACAACGACAGTTGACAATGGCTTGACAATATCCATGGCTAGAAGTGGTTCCCAGTGACCTATGCTGGTCGTAAGAGACGACAACATGGATCTCGTGGACAGACTCAGTTACTTGGTTGATCGCATGATTGAAGTTGATCCTTGTCCACAATGTCAATCACTTGATTGTCTGGTCCAGATTTGATTATTTACATGCCGCCCATATCATGTAAAAAGCTGGAATATTGCTGTGTGCAGCGTTAAACAATAACAATCGACAATGGCTTGAAATGAAATTTGTGCTTTTGAGGTTAAGCACTATATGACAGAATTGTAAACTGCTTTTAAGGAAAAAAATAATAAATATGATATCAAGGGAGCCAGTGTCTGAAACTTAGCAGAGTAAACTGAGAGCCTTAAGGGCCAGCACATTTAACAGACTGTAGGCCCAGTGGAAAAACTGTATGGCCAAACCTTTTTGCTGAAGCCGGGAGACATACTCTTGCAATATAAATTGCAAAACACAGTCAACCAGAAGCTTTTACTGCAATCACACCGAGTTCCCAGACACTCAGTGGTGATAGATGAAACCAATTCATTTATCAGGAAATTATAAGCTTGTAAAACATCTTTGTGACTACATGTCATTTGATAGGTGTAATCCTACTGTTTATAAATATGAAGGTTATGGTTATCACATTACTTAAATAATGTTTAATAAATAATTACTTAAATAAACTGCAGGACCTAAGGGCCTGCTGAAATTTAAAACTATCAGCCCGAGAACAATTCTGTCGGCCTCGGGCCTAGGGGCCAATGTCTATTTCGAACGCTGCAGGGAGCACACTTTCACCTTAAAACCCCGTTAGCATAAAATTGTAAACCGTTTAATCAAAATAGAATGGCTTTATTTTTATGCTTTGTAGTTAATATCCGTTTGGGATTCCTCCAGATCGATTTTATGGCACATCAGGACACCAAACCTGAAACAGGACTGTGTACCCAAAACTTGTAAGAGTAGATCAAGCTGGGACCTTGGTGCTGCTCAGTATGATAATAAATAGTAATTAGCTACATCACTTGTCTTGAAGAGTTACTGGTTTTTTTTGACCGCCTCCGTGGTGTAGTGGTAGAGCGTCCGCCCAGAGAGCGGAAGGTCCGGGGTTCGATCCCCGACCGCGTCATACCAAAAGACGTTAAAAGATGGTACTTGTTGTTACCCTGTCTGGCGTTCGACATTAATGGACTAAAACAAGGACTGGTTGGCTCGGAGTCAGTATACTGTGTCTGAGTTCGGTATTCATGCTAAACTCCGGCATGGTTTCTCAGTGAGCTAGCACTATAAATCGGCATCAGTCCGGACTAGTACAAGCAGCCACACAAACACACACGTACATGCACGTCGCTATAGGGGTGCAATAATTTTGGACGCGACGTTAAACCCCATTTCACCTCACCTACTGTGTGTTTTATAATCTTTGAATCAGTGTTGGACAGGGCCAAAGTACTAGGGACACTCGGAAGTCAGACCGCCCCCTTGGCCTAGTGGTTACAGGGTCTGCCGGGAGAGCGGAAGGTCGGTGGTTCGATCCCCAGGGCGAGTCATACCCAAAAAAAGTTGAAATATCGTACTTGTTAACGCCTCGTGCTTGGCTTTCACACCGAGAGGTCGGTTCGGAGTCAGGGTGTGTCTGAGCTGGTATCCGTCCACTGCGGCATGGCATCTCAGTGGGGTAACACTATAAAACCGATGAACAAGTACAAGCAGTCACACACACTCATTCATGCACGTTGCTGTTTAAGTCTAATAATCCCCATTTCAACCGTCCGCCCGGAGTTCGATCCCGGCCACGTCATACTTAAAGACGTTTAAAGAATGTACTTGTTGTTACCCTGTCTGGCGTTCGACTTTAAGGGACTAAAACAAGGACTGATCAGCTCGGAGTCAGTATACTGTGTCTGAGTGGGGTATTCATGCTAAACTGCGGCATGGTATCTCAGTGGGATAGCACTATAAATCGGCATCAGTCCGGACTTGTACAAGCAGCCACACACACACACACACACACACACACACACACACACACACTCACTATGAGTGCAATATTCTTGGACGCGACGTTAAGCCCCATTTCACCTCCCCTCCTCTCAGAAGTCTCGTTTACTTGTCGCTCATCTATCTACCCTTAAGATCGCCTGAACTGTGCACAATACCATTTTTTACCACAAAAAGTTATCCGGAGCTGATTGCTGTGGAAGTAGAAGAATATCCCGCTGGTCAATCGTGTCTTGGTTATTACGATAGCTTCTAACTGCCACTACCAAATGTAGCTATGGGTCGGATGACCGTCATTAAAGCTCAAGTGGTCACACTGTGAATCATCGGTTTGGATGATACAGACTTGATCACGTGCTACAAGACTGCATGGTGGGCTGATGTTGGTTGTCATGTCAACCTACAAGACTGCATGGGTACAGCTGTAATAGCTATATTCCAAGCTTTATGACGGCGGTCTGTAAATAATCGAGTCTGGGACAGATAATCCGGTGATTGACAGCATGAGCATCGATTTACGCAGTTGGGATACGATGACATGCATCAACCAAGTCAGCGAGCCTGAACACCCCATTATGTATTTTTGAGACCGGTTCTGACCCAGATCTTTTCAAGGGCCTGATGTGTCAATGTGAGATCAAGACGTGATTTTGTGTTTGATTAAAAAGGACAAAATAAAGTCAGTTTGATACATTTATTACAAAAATGAAATACAAATGGTAGAAAAGCACAAGCGTTCCTTTAGTGAGTTGCCATTGGTTGTTAAAGGACAAGGGTATAGTTGAAGACCTGCACATCTGCACTATATTACTACCCAAAGCATGGCCTATTGGACGTAGTTTGAGATACACCAAGCAGAGCTTTGAGTTCACAGAGCCTGCAGAATTGAATAATACACTCATTATACAGTATGTCCTGCACTTCCAGTGCCTACATAATATATGGTACTTCATGTCAAATTGTTTAATGGGTGCATATTACGTTGTCAGAATAAATCCAAAGGGTGAGTTTGGTTTAAGCCCACTTTTAACAGTATTCCAGTTTTATCACGGCGTGTCAGCTTCATGTGGGAGGAAAGCCCGAAGTAATGCAGGTCTAGACGTTTACCACTTTGGTGAAACCGACGAGAACTGTTATGGTGCTGACAAACAGTTCGGGCGATCTCGGAATCGTACGCACAATCATTGCTGACTGGTCTCTGTTTTATTTTCATCAAATGGACAACCGTCTTGGTTGTGTGACCTTGCAAACACACAAACCTCGATGATGATAGCCTAACAGTCTGTTTTTGTCGCACGAAAACCATGATTCCTGCGTTCAACCTGTACAACACTATTTACACTGAATGGACTGTACAAGCAGAAAGTAAAATTGAAAGCAAGTGTATAAACCAGTACAAAATGATAAAATGCATTATGCTTAAAGTATTTCCAACACATTGTCATTAAATCGATTAACTCTTTGATACAAACTTTTACATAGAATATCTGAAAATGTGTCATTCAATATCCAAGAATAAAATTAAAATATACCACTGATCATTGTGGGATCATTTGTTTACCACAATATTTAAACTGAATCTGAACAATTTAGAAAGGAAGAATTATTTTTTATTATCCCATTATCATGGAAAGTATTTTATAGTACATATTTATTTGCCTAGATGCATGTATTATATTACATTATTAATTACTAAAGCCAATATAATACATATATATAGAATGGTAATATTTGGATTAATCCATAGATGTGAATAAACTATTAAACGTTCTAAGACACTGCATACATTAAATGAAAATAAGATTAATAGGTATGGCAATAACCTGTTGAAAAGGACATGAATCTCTAAATGAAAATGATTGAGACAATGTGTTGAAATATGACTCATAGTAAGACTGCATTAAAGCTATCTTCTTGATAAATATGGAAACGATATGTACATGTTGATATATTTACATAGAAGAGATGTTAAATGTTTATATGACATCGACCCAGTCATTGGCAATATTTAAAAAAATAAATATACATTTGATATATACAATATCTGCAGTATGTACATCATTTCATGTAAGTGTATTGAGAAGCTAAGGCATAAACGACAGATGGATATTGTAATTGCACTTGGCAAAGTTCATGTTCTTTAAAAATAAATCCGGCTAACATGCAGGGAATTAGTGATCTATATTGAAGTTCTTGGTGTAAACTCTGATAGAAGCCCTGATATATTTAAATCAGATCATTCACTCTGATTCGTTTCCCGTATCAGTCAATCCCTGACAAAATATATATAAATGTTATCTTCTCTGTAATATCAAAACTTAGATAATAGACATGCTTATTATATCTACCACTGTTTACAATATATTGTTTTATTCCGCCGCCATTTTGACTGCTTGTATATAATGATTGACATGTAAAATGTACTCTAATACCAACATGCGTGGTTCTCTAGAGAATAAAGTGAAGTTGAAGTTGACAAACCTACGGGAGGTCACGTCATTGGAGCCTTCTTCTCCGCCAGTCAGCGTGGAGGCTTCTCAAATATCGGTACGAGCGAGTGGCGCACTCGGGGCATTATGTCTGATTTCTGATTGTCTTTTTTTATTTGGTAAAGGTAAAGTGATGAACTCAATCGTTTTAGAGCTGAAACCTGACTTGCCCAAGAGCCCACGTTTCCTTCATTTTGCTCATGGCGTCTTGGTCTCCTATTGATCTTTACGGAGAGAGGAATCGAATCGGAGTAAAATATGTCATTCTGATTAAAAGGAACGTGGCCAAGAAGATATACCAATTGACTACAATGGTATACAATTCTTGTGCAGTACCACTCAGCTAACGAACAAGGAATGTAGAAGAATGGAACAATGGATTCATTGAAGAAGGTTCCCAACATAGAAGCCGAAATACATTACTCCTCTGAAAGATCACTATAAGAATTCACAAGAACACTAGGAGTGTGTTGTGTCCAGGGTTGGTGGATATTTCAAACACATTTTCCTTACCACTTTTAATCTCTGGATATTATGTTTCCTCTGAAGAATGATTTTTTGATTTACAACAATGATGAAATTCGCACTGAAGAAATTGTGCAAATGCACCTGTCATTAAGCAGAGTACTGGTTCAGGAACCCTTTACTGGACACGTTCTGCTATCAGAACCATCGGACAAACCCAGCTGTGCAATGATGCATCCGTGATTAATATCTCTCTGAGCTGAAGGTGCTCTCGTGCCAATTGTCAAACAGCTGCCTATACATGGACGAAGGCAAGGCGAAACAGAAGTCTCTGGGGCCTTTCCTTTGACTCACACAGAGCCAGATGAGGCCGATGATGACGACGATGAAGGCGATGAGGAAGATGATACCGAGGAGGATGGCGAGGGTGATAGGGTTGATGCCGTACCGACCTCTTCTGACTCCAATAGGCGTCACTGGCTCCACGTATGTCGTGATGTTATCTGTGAAGGAGGGAGGTTGTTTCAAGTGAACAGTAGATCGGAGACATGTATATTTATGAGAAATGTCTGTCTTTGTTTACGACTCTACCATGTTCATGTCAGTTGCTTGTAGACACTATATAACGACAAGGCTCTCTACGTCGAAGTGAGTGAGTGAATGTTGTTTTACACCACTGTCAGCATTATTTCTGCTATATCATGATGGCATGTAAATAATTGAATTTGAGATAGTCAAACCTATTGCTGATAGCATTAATAAAACACACAATCCAAACATAGTTGATTAACGAGGGACCAATAGCAAAAAAGCTTGACAAAAAACTAGATACGGTCGGTTGCTAGATGTGAGGTGAGGTGAAATGGGGTTTAACGTCGCGTCCAAGATTATTGCACTTATATAGCGACGTGCATGCACGTGTATGTGTGTGTGTGTGGCTGCTTGTACAAGTCCGGACTGATGCCGATTTATAGTGCTAGCTCACTGAGATACCATGCCGCAGTTTAACATGAATACCCCACTCAGACACAGTGTACTGACTCCGAGCCGACCAGTCCTTGTTTTAGCCCCTTAATGCCGAGCGCCAGACAGGGTAACAACAAGTACCATCTTTTAACGTCTTTTGGTATGACGCGGTCGGGGATCGAACCACGGACCTTCCGCTCTCCGGGCGGACGCTCTACCACTAGACCACGGAGGCGGTCTCGGTTGCTAGAAGAATGTGTGCTAGTAAACCACCTACCACACACTTTCCCGTATGTCCAGGCAGGGCAGTGACAGTAGAAGTCATCAATCCAGTCGATGCACTGGGCTCCAGACAGGCATGGAGAGGGGATGCAGTTCTCCAGGTTTGTTTCACATTTCGTACCTGTGAAACCTGCATCGGAAGATAACGACAGAAGTGAGCAGGTGGAGTTATATGGACTCACATAAACCCTCTTAGAGAGAGTTATTATTCAACGTTGTGTAGTGACCTTGGGCATCCAGGCTAATGTGTGCCACAACCACCATCAGTTGGTTGAGTTAGTTAATATACAACGTTTATAGAGATCTTGTTGGACAGCCAAGGTCAAGCTTTGCCACAACCACCATCAGTTGGTTGAGTTAGTTAATATACAACGTTTATTGAGATCTTGTTGGACACCCAAGGTCAAGCTTTGCCACAACCACCATCAGTTGGTTGAGTAAGTTAATATACAACGTTTATTGAGATCTTGTTGGACACCCAAGGTCAAGCTTTGCCACCACCACCATCAGTTGGTTGAGTTAGTTAATATACAACGTTTATAGAGATCTTATTGGACATCCTAGGTCAAGCTTTGCCACAACCACCATCAGTTGGTTGAGTTAGTTAATATACAACGTTTATAGAGATCTTGTTGGACAGCCAAGGTCAAGCTTTGCCACAACCACCATCAGTTGGTTGAATTAGTTAATATACAACGTTTATAGAGATCTTGTTGGACACCCGAGGTCAAGCTTTGCCACAACCACCATCAGTTGGTTGAGTTAGTTAATATACAACGTTTATAGAGATCTTGTTGGACACCCAAGGTCAAGCTTTGCCACAACCACCATCAGTTGGTTGAGTTAGTTAATATACAACGTTTATAGAGATCTTATTGGACATCCTAGGTCAAGCTTTGCCACAACCACCATCAGTTGGTTGAGTTAGTTAATATACAACGTTTATAGAGATCTTGTTGGACACCCAAGGTCAAGCTTTGCCACAACCACCATCAGTTGGTTGAGTTAGTTAATATACAACGTTTATAGAGATCTTATTGGACATCCTAGGTCAAGCTTTGCCACAACCACCCTCAGTTGGTTGAGTTAGTTAATATAAAACGTTTATAGAGATCTTGTTGGACATCCAAGGTCAAGCTTTGCCACAACCACCATCAGTTGGTTGAGTTAGTTAATATACAACGTTTATAGAGATCTTATTGGACATCCTAGGTCAAGCTTTGCCACAACCACCCTCAGTTGGTTGAGTTAGTTAATATAAAACGTTTATAGAGATCTTGTTGGACATCCAAGGTCAAGCTTTGCCACAACCACCATCAGTTGGTTGAGTTAGTTAATATACAACGTTTATTTAAATGTAACACACTTAATTTCTGTATTAATATTACAGGCACCTATGTGACTATCTTGGTTAGTTTACAGTATATCAAATATTGTGATCTTCCCGAGGCAAGGGTGTAAGCTGACTATAAAAGACCAGTTTTCCACTTATTGTATGCGTTCTGAGGTTAACAAAGTTTCATGATCACTTACATGTTTACTGGGAGATGATTCAATGGTTCAACTATACTACTCAAAAGAAGTTAAAGAACCCTCGATTTGTTTCATCAGGCTATAATTAATCTGTCATAGACATTGAAAATGTTATGAATTGAAGGGGTCTAAATTCACTCCTTGATTACTGATTTAATTTAAATGAAAAAGCGAAATTGCTGACGCGGCTAAACGTAATATCTCCTAACTCACTGATTTACATGAGAGCATGATGGTTGGTCTGCTATTTAACAAGGAACATTATCTAGTCTGTCCACTCAGTGAGTGTTGCTATAATGGAGCATGGGAAATCTTACCTTTTGGACATTCACATCTGAAAGTATTGTCAGCGTTCAGCCAACAGACACCCTCATTCAGACACTGATTTTTCTCGCATGGTCGGTAAACCCTGCCAGGCGAGGACTCATCTGAAATACCACGATATATAACTTAACACGTATTCCATAGACATTTTAGACAGTAAATGCGCATTGATACGAAAATAATTCTACCATGATGGCAATGATAGACACGAGTTCACCTTCTTTTGCTATGAAACACCGTTGTAAAGACATTGTGTGTACTCCGATTAGAGTGTTTTGACTGGGTAAAAATATGTGATAGCCAAGTTACATATAAGTGTAGGAACGGTTCGCATAAATTCTTCCATATATATATAGGTAAGACTTAGATCTAAATAAAACTCAAATACATGGCCTAGATATGGTATTCATGTCATCGTCCTGAGCCTAAAATATAAAGCAGGATTCTGTCATACTCGATTCTGATTGGTCAAGCAGAGGTTCTAAACCACAATAACCACCTCTGATTAAAAGAATTGATTTGGAGGCCTCATCACCACGGGAGGTAATATCCACAGAACAGTTTTTCTATCACAACCATTGTCAACACAAACAAGACTACAAAATTCAGATTGCGCTCAGTGCAGTATTCATAACATGTTGAAAACACGAAAGAAAGCGCCGAAAGCGCCGTAAAATGTACATTGAAAACCCAGTATGTTCATCTCCTAAATTACATCATTTATATGTATTAGAACGTCATACTACAACATGAGTGTATATATCTGCCACGAATTAGACACACTGTCTCTCATAAGAGACACGCCATATATCTTAGTTTTTCTTATAAACCTCCAGTGACGTCATCCTATTGTTCTCCAGTAGGGTTAAATCTCATAAACAGGGATGTTATACTATCCCCGGGATTTTACGTAATATCCCAGAGATATTTGCTATATTATGTTATAATATCGCCGGGATTTTTAATAATATCCCAGGGATTTCATTGATACAACTTCCGTTAAGATTGTAACATATGAATGTTCTCTAGTATTTATGTCGTATTTTAACACAATGTAATGAAATGTAAAATCAAATGACTAATGTTTTCTTTATATTCCCGAGGATCCAACACGCAACCTTCGTATCTGTAGCCCAGTGAGTGTACCACAAGGCTACAGTGGCGCTATAAATCACAATGCTTTTAAGAATGTCCTTTTCAAGTACGCCAGCAACAGATAGTTTACGCCCGTTTCTTAAGGTTCATGGAACGTACGGTTGAAACATAAAAATGTTGATAATTGTTGTTTTAAGTTTCTTTTGTCGGTTTATAAGTTAGATTAAACACTTCCCCTCGGGTTTTTATGATATTTAAAACCCTTATCCTTTGGATAAAATCTCAGGGCTGTCGGCCCTCGGGTTTTAAATATCACAAAAACCCTCTGACGTGCTTTATCCTTCGCATATTCCGTAAACTACGGTTATAACGAACTCAAAGGGGCCACTAATTTTAGTTCGTTATAACCGAAGTTCGTTTTAAGCATATATACAGCATATATACAGTATGTTTCCCTGACAAAAAATAGAATTGTCATATCCGTAAGTTCGTTATAGGTATGATAACGTAGGCGTGACGTACTGCATATTTTGCCGGCGATACCATCAGGGCATATACAGTAGTAGTCATCTATCCAGTCCACACAAGCTGCACCACGGAGACAGGGGCTGGGCTCACAGTCGTTGATGTCCACCTCGCACAAGGCTCCAGTCGTGCCTGTAAGAGAGTCTCAATGACGTCACATTCAATCATCTCCTGAACAAAATATTTGTTTGCTCTTTATCCGATATTTACTTTGTTACGGTTGTTGGTATTTTATATTTCCTTTGTATCCCTCTGAGATAAACAAAGGGTAGTCCGGTCTTGGACATAATGAAACGAAAAATGAGAATCATCTCGAATATAAATTCCCGATAATGTCATCCTACCTTCTTCCATACATTCACGCCAGTCCTTGTTTATAGTGAGTTGATAGTGACTCTATCCATTATCAGCGGTACTGGTTGACAGTTTCACCTTATATTCCATACATTCACAGCGGTACTGGTTGACAGTTTAACTTTGCCTTTCATACATTCACAGCGGTACTGGTTGACAGTTTCGCCTTACCTTTCATACATTCACAGCGGTACTGGTTGACAGTTTCACCTTACCTTTCATACATTCACAGCGGTAGTGATTGACAGTTTCACCTTACCTTTCATACATTCACAGCGGTACTGGTTGACAGTTTCACCTTACCTTTCATACATTCACAGCGGTACTGGTTGACAGTTTCACCTTACCTTTCATACATTCACAGCGGTAGTGGTTGACAGTTTCACCTTACTTATCATACATTCACAGCGGTACTGGTTGACAGTTTCACCTTACCTTTCATACATTCACAGCGGTACTGGTTGACAGTTTCACCTTACCTTTCATACATTCACAGCGGTACTGGTTGACCATGTCCACACATACACCCATCTGCCTGCAAGGGTTACTGTTGCACTCGTCGATGTTGATCTCACACATGCGGCCCGCGAAGCCTGTCACGCACTCACACACATAGTCGTTTGCAATGGCGGTGCCGTTGAACAGTTCCTGCAACAATATACATGGAATGAAAGCCTATTCACCTTCTTTACACCACATTAAAGCTGCATTGTAAGATTCATATATTGCACATGTTGCACATATATGTTGTAATTAACACGTTAATTGTAAATTATATATATTATAATTGAAACAAATGTAATTGTAAAAAATAAACATGCACAATGAGTGAGTATCGTTTCACGCTATATTGAGCACTTTTCCAGCTATATCACGACAGTTATAGAACTGAAATTGCGCAGGATTTATTTGTTTGTTTGTTTGTTTAACGCCGCACTCAGCAATATTCCAACTATATGACACGGTTTTAAATAATCGAGTCTGGACTAGACAATCCAGTGATTGACATCATAAGCATCGATCGACGCAAATGGGATACAATAACATGCACCCAAGGCAGCAAGCCTGTCCACCTGATCCCGTTAGTTGGCACAGTCGCCTGTTTGGGCAAACATGGGTTGATATTTGAATATCCGTCATGAAGTTTCGATAAAAAGAGAACGAATGAGCACTACAACACAACTGTACCGACGCAAATTGGTTAACATCTAACTTCGACCGAATAAAATTCTGATTCAAAGATAAGTTTAAAATTGACAGCCCATTCTCCGACTATTGGATAACGACCAATGCCAATCTTCCTCATATGCAAATTTTAAACGCTGAGTAAATTTAGAGAGAAACAAATCAATGTTAACGCATTTTCTTTCCCATATCCAAAAACACACAACTGATGTTTTATTTCAGCAGTCCAGTTGATTCCATAACTTCTTTGATAGGCCTTTAGAAGTTGGAGTACTAAGTAAGGATAAGAATTTATGGATGAACAACTTCTTTATTACAATTAAGAGCGACGTTTCGGTGTAGGTTCGTTGTTAATATTACTGGCTTCATCCTTTCTTTATGTCACTGACTTCACCGATGATTGTCATCACTACCCTTGTGTATACATAACAGGCTTCTCTACTCCAGTATAACAATATCTACTCTACTGTATAAACATTGCCTCCTACCTGTATATATACTTGTCAACCATACTCTGAATATCACTTGCTTGATAACGGTGTAAGAACCTACACCGAAACGTCGCTCTTAATTGTAATAAAGAAGTTGTTCATCCATAAAAATTCTTATCCTTACTCAGTTGATTCCGGACTTAACATCATATTGTAACTGTTCTTCTGAAATCTAATTTAGGCATAGAAATACGTTCACACCAATATTGTACACCTTATTGATCTTATGACAACCACGAGGCACTGCGGACCTTAGACAGCTATCCTGTAATGGTCGTGAATGAATGCCTCAAAGTAAAAATACTTACTTGACAAGTGCCGCCGTTTTGACACCTGTTGTGACATATCTCCTCTGAAAACAAAACCAAATGTTGCCTCATCATCCGTGCTATACACATTTACAAATGCGAATCTCCAATGTACGTTCACTTGGTAAAAATGTATACTCTATTATTTCAGTCTACAGGTATACTGTAAGGCAAAGAGTTTATGGACGTCAACTTCTTAATAATGAGGAACACAACGTTTCGGAGTATATACTTTCTCCATCATCAGGTGAATCATTCAGCTTATGAAGTAGTAGGGGGCATGGGTGGCCAGGTCGTCTAAGGCGCCGCGCTTGCAGAGTTGCGTCCCTTGGGCACGCCAGATGGTTCACCCCGATTATATTTCTAGATTTGTCAGCACCATACCCGTGCTCGTGGGTTTTACCGTAGTGGTAAAAGTCTGAGACCTGCATCACTTCGGGCTTTCTCTCACATTAAACTGACACGTCGTGATATAACTGGAATACTGTTAAAAACGGCGTTAAACCCAACTCACTCACTCACTCACTCACTCACTATGAAGGAGTAAGTACATACTCCGAAACGTTGTGTACCTCATAATAAAGAAGTTGACATCCACAGATTCTCTTCCTTATGTGTATCATTTCTAAGTGCCTTTTCAAAGACTAGGTATACTATACCTTGTTCACAGCGCAGACCAAAGTATCCCGTTGCGCATGTGCAGTTGTATGTTCCTGGTGATCCCTGTACGCAGGTTGCGCCATTCTGACAGTCATCTGTCAGACACTCGTTCACATCTGCAACATTCCACTGATTTAGCATTCGGAGACCAGACTCACACATGTTAGTCTGTTCGTTCGACTAGAATTGTGTGCTTGGGTACCTATTCTGCACCGGAAAGCACCCAGGTGAGGCGGATACGGAAGGGGGTGGATACGGAAGGGGGTTCAGGGGTTCTGGACCCCCCTCCCTCTTTTGAAAACCAAATGTAGTATTTTGTAGGGAGTACAATTAACTGAGAGAGGATTTTGATATTTTGGACTCCTCCATTTTAAAAATGCTGGATCCGAACTTGGTTGATGTGACTTGTGACTGTGTCCTCAACACCAATTAGGGTAAAATATATTCTTTAATATCCTGTTATCTCAAAGTCTTGAAATCTGCCTATTGAAAATCACTGTCTTCCGTAGTTTAATAATGCTATGACACAAACGTGTCCGTTATTGCAGTGACCATGAACTCACATCGTGGTATATGATATATCCAGTTATGGGTGTTCGACTATAGGTTTTACAGAACATTCAGTGCTCAACTGATTTACATATTTTTCACAAGAACTGATACAGTATTACGCAAAGAGTCTTAACCATTTCACGGCGAATGGCGGCCCAGATGTCTGAATCGCTGCAATTCAGCAGAGTGGCGTCCTTAAGGGGTCCAGAAACCTATGATAATAGGCTCGAAAACCAATAACTGTGTTCACGGTGAAGGTCAGAGACAGGCATCACTTCAGGTTTCCCTCTAACATATGGGGGGCACGGGTGGCCCAGTCGTCTAAGGCGCCGCGATTCGCTGTGCAGAGTTGTGTCCCTTGGGCATGCCAGAACCTATGATTGTGGGTTCGAATCCCGGTTCGCCCCGATTATGTTTCTAGGTTTGTCAGCACCATACCCGTGCTCGTGGGTTTCACCGAAGTGGTAAACGTCTGAGACCTGCATCACTTCGGGCTTTCCTCCCACATTAAGCTGACACGCCGTGATATAACTGGAATACTGTTAAAAACGGCGTCAAACCCAACTCACTCACTCACTCACTCTAACATAAAGCTGGCCCGCCGTGATTTAACTGAAATACTGTTAAGGCGGCTTGAAATGAAACACACTCAACCCTTCCTACCTTCAGTACAGTTGACTCCAGTGTACCCTACTTCACATGCGCAGTCGTAGGTTCCTGGGTCGCCTTGGGTACAAGTACCATTGTTCTGGCAGGGGTTAATCTCACACTCGTCGATATCTGCAGCCAGAAGAACATGTCGTTGATTACATTACACTCTAACGGCAGAACTGTATACACACCGTACACAACGTCAACTATTATTTCTATTTGGTAATTATTTTTATAAATGTATGCTTGACATGACAAATGTAAGTATTAAAGCGTATTGGTTGGGTATACTTTGAAATCTCTGTGTAAAGTACATCTATATATTTAAGCATCAAATATGTGATGGTGATGAAAACATGATTTTATACGATGATATGGTAAAGAGTGAGAAAGAAAGCAGTGGGACTGACAGGGAAACTGGAAAGAAACAATTAAAGAGCAACATAAGTACACGGTGAAACAAAAAACTAAAAATAGGCACACGGTGAACGAATAAAACATGATGGCTATACAGAAAACATATGTGAATCGGTGAGTCAGTTCATGGAAGATATGGAACATATATAACAAAACGTATACATGAAGAGTTTTGGGTTCTAACATATAAACCCTAGTTGGCCATTTTGAAATCGCAAAAAAATACTTTACCAATTTCACAACGATCTCCCATATATCCACTTGTACACGCGCACTGAAAACTGCCAATGATTGGCTGGGAACAGGTACCACCATTTGTACAAGGGGAACTATCGCACTCGTTCAAATCCTCTTCACAGTTGAGACCGGAAGTTCCCGCAGGGCAGGAGCAGCTGTAGCTTCCTCTCCCAAGAGAGTTGCAGGTGCCCGTATTACGACAAGGGTTGGAGTCACAGGGGTCGACCTCGATGTCACAGCGCAGACCTCGGAAGCCGGGGGAACATTGGCAGGAGTACGATCCAATGTTTGGTTGTACACATGTGCCCGAGTTTAAACATGGGTTGGAGCTGCACTCGTCAATGTCGCGCTCACATGTCGAACCAGTCCAGCCCGGTCGGCATCGACATTCATATGTCCCGGGGGACCCTTGGAAACATAGTCCACCATTTCTGAAAGGAATACATTTGTTTGGTTTTGATGGTAATTCTGAATATTTAAGAAGAGATAAAGAAATATTCTGGAAGACACGTGATCATATACTCTGAGTGTGAATTTGCGTATTTGCTCAATGGGGGTATGGGTCACAGGAACTCGTTTTTGGATATTAAATAAATTCTCTAGTTACATATATGGGGTATATATTTTATGCCCGACCAATAACGAGTTCCTGTGGCATGGGTAGCCCTGTCGTCTTAGGCGCCGCAATTTGCTGTGCAGAGTTGCGTCCCTTGTGCACGCCATTTTTGATGATCGTAAAATGGAATTCCTGTTCGTTCTTAGATTTGCCAGCCCCATACCCGTTCACCAAAGTGGTAAACGTCTGAGGCCTGCATCATTTTGAGATTTCCTCCCACATCGAGCTGACACACCGTGATATAACCGAATTACTGTTGACAGCGGCGTTAAATACAACTCACAGCGTGCTAAAGGAAGAAACAATACTTACACGTGGCTGTGGTTGAATGCAAGACATGGTTAGTGCGACGTTATATATATTTTTAGAGCACACTTTCAGGTGTTATAAAATACAAAATATAACTCTATTTTTGCTACGCCGTGTATTATCTGGACGTGTGGGTCAAATACGCAGTTGGTTATGGCGCCGTGTTATGATGCACTTGCATCACACATAATCTGCTTCGTAATTTTTTGATAAAACGTGTGCGAAATGACAACAATATCCTAATCTTCCAAAAATAATAATTCACTCCATTCATACTGCGCCAAAATCCTCCAAGAGTATATCTTATGGCGCTAAATCATAATAACCTCGGTCAATGTATCAGTGTGCACTCGAGTTTTTATTCTCAGCTCCCTGGGGAGTATCTAACCCAAGCTGCCTGTGAGGGGCTACGTCACATAACCATCTCATCTTACCGGGTACCCATTAATTGCTGGGTGAACAGAGGTATATTTAAAAAAAAGTCAATTGCCTAAGGAGACAGTTCATGTGCTACAAACGCTTCACTGTGGGGCAGGACCGAAGCTCTAGAACTTCCCGGCTGTCAAGCTGCTGAAAACCGTCGCCCATCCAACTACTCCCCGTGGCCAACTTTAATTATCTTCACCTAAATTTTGATCAATGCAATGTGGAGATACCTCTGTTATCATTTCGTAATAAATATATGCTTCCCGACTTATTTTTGCCAACTCGTCCGCAACATCGTTATTCGCTGTTCCAGACACTTGTGATCACGGGTTCAAATCCAAGATTCGCCCTGTTTATGTTTCTAGGTTTGTCAGCACCACACCTTAGGCAACACTTCTGACACGATGTGATACAACTGAAATGCCGTTAAATGTCGTTAAACCAAACTTCTTCACCTACCCCTGACTTAGTTCCACCAATCCCTATCAACTGTACGGCAACATATCATACCTGCATGGCTGACTGCGACACTCGTCAGTATCAATCTGACAGACATTTCCCTCAAATCCCGTTCGACAGACACACAGGAACATTCCGAAGTCAGGCTCGCTGCAAGTTCCACCATTCTGACAGGGCCTAGACGCACATTCCTGAATGTCATCCTCACAGTCCCGACCTCGGAATCCACGGGGACAGGTACAGAAATACTGACCCAACCCCTGGCGGCACTCTCCCCTGTTCTGACACGGCCTCTGGGCACAGTAATCAATCTGACCCTCACAAGTTGATCCGTTGAAGTTAGTTGGGCAGGCACACACCCACGTCCCAGGAACACGTCCTTCAGTGCATGTGCCTCCGTTTTTGCAGGGTCGGGCGTCGCATTCATTAATGTCCGTCTCACAGTTGGTACCCGTGAAACCCAAAGGACATGTACACGTATACTCTCCGGCGGCTCCTTCGGCGCATGTCCCACCATTGCGACAAGGTCCGGAGTCACATTCGTTAATATTCGTCTGGCATCGATTCCCCTCATACCCACGAGCGCATTGACAGATGAACTCTCCTGGTTCGCCTTCTCTACAGTCGCCATTGTTGAGACAGGGGCTTGAGGCACACTGGTTGATCCTCTCCTCACACCTCTGCCCCTCCCAACCTCTTGGGCACTGACACAGCCACTGGCCGAATACTGGACTGTTAACACACGTGCCTCTCCTACAGGGGTTGATGAGGCCGCATTCGTCGATGTCATCCTGACAGTTGTCACCAACCAGACCAAGAGGACACTCACAATTGTAGGTTCCAGCTGTGCCTTGTCGACAGGACCCTCCATTCAAGCAAGGACCTGACGCGCACTCGTCGATGTCGTCTTTACAGTCAACACCTTGAGAAAACAATAAACATATATCAATCCCTGCATGTGGCTATTTATTTGTTAGCTGTTTAACGCCACTGTAAATAATCGTGACCAGACAATCCAGTAACCGACATCGTAAGCATCGATCTACACAATTGGGATACAACAACATGCATCAACCAAGTTAGCGAGCCTGACCACCCGATCCCGTTAGCTTCTTACGTTTTGTGGTTGTATTATGCATATTTGTGAAATGAATAAAACAATTAAGGAATTGTTATGGAAGTTATCAGATGCCCTCTTCAACACTTGCATTTATATGACGTATAACAGTAGTCAAGGAATAGGTAAGGCAATAATGAATAATGAGTTCGAGGAACGCGATCCAGACTTTGAGTAGATAAGTAGATACTGACATTAGAACCATGTGTTACAAATTTTATCTTTGGTCAAGGGCTTGTTAATAGTTAGATTTGCCATTGAAGCTGGACAATCCGCCTTTTCCTCATTCTTATGTACTTGAATATGTCAGAAGTCCAAAGGTTGTAAGCGCAGTTACGAAAAAGGCTATTTGTCAGCAATTTTAACATATCTGAGATAATTCATACATTGGTTTCAAAATTGTCGTTTAGTTTAATATTTGACATTTCCAGTGGGCTAAACTGGACCTTGTCTTCGTACCTCGTCTTCTCTTTGAACGAGGAGGAATAGTACATACGTATAACACATTACTAACTCTCTTGTATTTCTGGAATACGAAGCTTACCTGTAAATCCCACGGGGCAGTCACAGATGTAGGTCCCAGGTGGCCCTTGTCTGCAGGTTCCTTCATTCCAACACGGGCTGAAGACGGCGCACTCATTAATGTCCACCTCACACCGACGTCCGGTGAAACCACTTGGACATATACACTGGTACTTCCCCGGCCTCTCTTGTCTGCAGGTAGCGCCGTTCTGGCAGGGGGACGTTGCACACTCGTCAATGTCTACATGGATGAAAAACAAGGGAAAAGTAATTTGAAAACTATCCTTGTTAGATGTTTGGTTTAACGCCGTTTTGAACAGAATTCCAGTTATACCACGGCGTGTCAGCTTAATGTGGAAGGAAAGCCAAAAGTTATAGCAGGTCTCACAGACGTTTACACTTTGGTGAAACACACGGGCATAGGTATGGTGCTGACAAACCGAGAAACATACATAATTAGATCTTTAAGTGACATTTGAGAAGCTGTAATGTCAATCAAGAAAGAACTGATGCAGGTTGTACAGATGTCTATGACTTTGGTGAAATCAACAAGTATGGTCATAGGACTGATCCTTGGAACGCAACTCTGCGAAGCCTAACACGGTAAGATAACTCACGCCTCTTCAGTTGGGGGCGGTGGGTAGCTACGTGGCTAAAGCGTTCGCTCGCCATGCCTAATGCCCTGGTTCGATTCACCACACACATGGGGTAAAGGCCAAATCACTCTCTCGCACAATATATAAGTTTTGCAATATACAAATGAACACATAGAACACTATAAATCACCTTCGTCGCATAACCGTCCTCTGAACCCAGTGTTGCAGGAGCACCTGAAGAAGTTGATCTCGTCGATGCAGAAGCCATTGAGACAAGGATTGCTGGCGCATTCATCTATACCTGAAACATGGAACTTCAGCGATGTAGGCACCAATCACTGAATGGTGTACAATCAACTTAGGTTAATGCATGATGCCATAAACATCATCATCATCATCATCATCATCATCATCATCATTATTATTATTATTATTATGTACGGGAAAGTTTCCAAGTGTTCCAAAGCATTGCTAAGCTAAAAGTTATTACGTTTCCGGTCTCTCCATGTGGTCTAAAATAACGCGACGACGTGGTTGTAATGGCTTATTGTTTTAGACAAGCCTATTCGCATGACATTAAGAATCCTTGTATTCTGGAGGTAAAATGTAGTTGTCTCCGGTATTAAAATGTCTCCTGCAACTTCAGGTGCTAGCCCAGGCCCAAGTCAACTAAAATGATTTCGGTTTAATAACGAATCTGAACTTCCCAGCTTATGATGGCAAAATATGATAGCAACTAAACAGTTGGGATATGATGCAGCAATACATGATTTGCCAGAATGAGGCTGTGACCCTGACCTCGTTCACACAGAGTGCCCGTATATCCAGGGTTACAGATGCACGTGTAGTTGCCCTGCTCCGCACGAAGCTGCTGACATGTTGCTCCGTTCTTGCACGGCGCCTGTCTACAGGGGTCTGTAAGAAGAGTCATTGTTAGCCATTTGCTGAGATGGGATAAAAATTGGATCAAGCTCTATGCTTATAAATAAATAGTTACAGTATTTACACAAGTGTAAATCAAGGAAATTCACTTACTGTCAGAAAGGATAAACATTTGATCAATTTCTATACTTATACAGTAAACAGTTACAGTATCAACCGAACTGTAAGCAAGGTGACTCATCTCACTGAGACCTACGCAATGATTTATTACCATTTGCCATTTTTGTTAGAGACCGTTTACCAATTTTGTAAGAGACTATTTACCATTAAATGGTTCCTGCATCAGGACATAATAATTCTTTCTAAAGAATGGAACCGAACAATGTTATTCTTTTCACAACACATTTTTGAACACCAATATTTTGATGTGTTCCTTACAGGCGGACGTTTTTAGTACTCACTTGAATCCACTAGCTGCCGCTTCTGCCTAGAAAGTGTTCCTACGTCGTTGATGATATCGCTGTGGTCAGAGTATAAATATGGCTTCTTCTCCACAGTGCCTGTATTGTTCATTGGCATGGCTGAAAAAAAAATGTGTTTTCATTTTGAACGACCATTATTAACAAACCTTTGTGTTCTAAAAACTATATTCAGAGAAATCGGTTGCCCTGGAGTTGGGGTGAATTAATCACCCTCGAAACTGACGGCACCGTGTCCTATTTAGTTCTACTAGTAACCTTTCTAACCAATCAATGATCATCTTAGAATAGATCGTGCAACCAATCCGATATCTTGTCCCACAAAGCTGAAAAATGTGTGATGTTTGTTTCTTCATGCATTTGTTGTTTTAAGAAGTATTCGGCAATATGTTAGCTATATGCCAATCAAGTCTGGACCAGATAATTTAGTGATTGATGTTATGAACAACGCTCCACGTGGGGATACGAGGCTGACCACCCTATCCATTAAGTCTCCTCTTTCATAAGTTGCTGTAGCTATATTTTAACCAGGAAATACTTCTCAAAGCAGCATAAATCCAAAGGACTCTCACTACGCAGCAATGTGTACCTGTATCACAAAGAATGCCCGTCCATCCAATATCACACTTCCTACTTCCGTCCTCCAGGCAGGTAAAGCGACCTTGACCTGACTCTTCGTCACAGTACACGTCACATCCGGGTCCATGAAAGGCTTCTGCACACTGGACCTGACATTATACATAAAGGTCATTGCATGGCATGTTTCAGATGGTCAATGAGATGATAGATGGACATCATTATACGATGCCTGTTAATGTTAATGTTAATATACACATCTTCTTTCTCAGGTGTTGTCTGGGTACAAACTGGTGACTTGAATAGGATGAAGGTGGGACTCATCACACAACAGTCACATCAACCTGTTTAATATATCATTGGGGTATATATCTCATCAATCCTGCAATCATTTCTATAAGAAAATACATAGATCAATCTGAACACAATTCACTCAACACCCAGTGCCTTTAAACATTGGACGAGGCAAATGTTGCTACGTGTTTTATGATAACCACAATTGGCAACCACAACCATCTTTTTGCAAAATGTAACGAGTGGCAAGTCAAGGACCTTTGACTTTGTTCCGCCTCAGGTATTTACTTTGTGTCAGGCAATCTTTGGATACACTTACTCTTGATGACTCGTTTCCTATCAACCCAGGGAGGGTGCCACACTCTTGCGTTTAAAGTACCTGATTGTCCAACGCAATGGCTGCTCTTGCTTCACACCATGCGTGTTTGTTCTCTAGACTTGCCTCACCATAAACAAATTAAGTTACCAGCAAACATTAACAGGCTTTTGGCAAACTGTAACCCAGAGACTGACAGTAGGTCATACTTTACCTGTTCTACCCAATACTCTGGAATGTCCTTCAAATATCATGACCAGGTTCCATTTGAGGTGAGGTGAGGTGAAATTGGGGTTAACGTCGCGTCTAAGATTATTACACTATTATAGCGACGTGCATGCACGTGTGTGTGTGTGTGTGTGTGTGTGTGTGTGTGGCTGCTTGTACTAGTCCGGACTGATGCCGATTTATAGTGCTAGCCCACTGAGATACCATGCCGCAGTTTAACATGAATACCCCACTCAGGCACAGTATACTGACTCCGAGCCGCCCAGTCCTTATTTAAGCCCCTTAATGCCGAGCGCCAGACAGGGTAACAACAAGTACCATCCTTTTAACGTCTTTTGGTATGACGCGGCCGGGGATGGAACCCCGGACCTTCCGCTCTCCGGGCGGACGCTCTACCACTAGACCACGGAGGCGGTCGGCTCCATTTGATCAAATCTAAACACGATACGTTGGGCTTCTGTTCAATTATAAGGAAACATTTCTTACAGTAACAGAGATCCCTGAGGGACCTACATTTAATATTCTGGGGAGAGGAAGAGTGTCTGGGATATTTTGTTAGACACAGGATACTTTTGGGATTACGGCTTCAAAACATACAGAACGAACCGAACTAGTTTCATACAATATTTTCAGGACATCTAGGATGTCCACCGAACACATTATTTTTGACTTCACAAATTCAACCCAGAATATGAAGTAACGGTTTCTAATTTCTCAGTGGAGCTAGCTTCGCCTAAAAGACCTACTTGGACTCTAACGACGGCATCGTTAACGACGCCCCTCCTTCCTTTCTCCACCCACGTTGTCTGCGGTCTGTAGGAGTTCCAGTCTGCTCTCTGACCTGGGAGCTGGACACTGTGTTGAGCCACCGGCCATGGAAGGTCGGTGCCCGTCTTGTACTCTAGTCTCAGTATGAGTTCCATTGGCTGATAGAAACAAAGACATGATCATCAAAATTCTGTAAACCCGTGTTTTGTAAGAAACAGACTAATGTGAATATGGTATGATGTTTTATAGGAACAGTCAGGAGTGAGCGATTTTGGTGGTTACGGTTAGGATGCAACCAATCAATATTCGCGTGGGCTGTGGGTGTGGGTGTGGGTGTGTGTGTGGGTGTGTCCGGTGCTTGGATTTCTGTGGGTCAGAATACATCTTCGGTCTCTGCTTCAGGACATTGTCCACGTCATCCAGTATTTCTAGCACTCTCTGAAATGAATTACACCCCCACCTTCCCGGATATGAAATGATCTAATTATCGGTTTCTACTGACGTCTGAATTATTTCTAACACTTAGTGGTCCGCGAGGAAGGAACAACGCCGTCACATCATTTAGGATTACCATCCGATGTTGATATTAGGGGACACTTAAGCACATGGTTTATATTCTATAATCTGCCCCACCATCCTCACTTTGGCGCGCATACGGATATGTAAGTTATCAATCCTCTATGAACCATGACCTTCACGCCTGGGAATTTATCGAAAATAAACAAATTGTCTCCGACAATTCTTGAAAAAACAAATATGCTTCAGACTGTTCAAAAAAAATAAATACTTGCCACATAAAATACATTGTTGCAAGGTACAAATAAATTGTCCCCGACAATTCTTAAAAAACAAATATGCTTCAGACTGTTCAAAAAATAAATTACTTGCCAAAAAATGACATTGTTGCAAGGTATTTTTCTTGAAAGAATTTCAGGCTCATTGTTTTAAATGAAAAATAAACACCAAAAATATCTGGTTGTGTAGTTGTAGCTAACAAACATCCCAGGCCTACTGGGTATGGTGCTGAAGAAGCTAGAAACATGTTCAGGGCGAATCTTGCATTCGACCCCACGATCATACGTTTATGGCACGACTAAGGGCGCCTCTAAGGGAGATAACTCTGTACTGCGAATTAGAGTGCCTCAGACGACTGACCCATCTCTCTTCAGGTATACGCTACAGTTGGAAACCGCTCATGTCAACTCCATTTGTAATTGAGTTGTGAAAGGTACACCATGCTCGTCAAAACAAGCCGCTGGCGACACCGTCTTAATTGAAACCCTATAACAATTGAAGGTGGGAGTTGACAGTCCGTGCTTTTAACTATCATTCCAATGTCGACATAGCAATGGTTCCAAACAATTGTCTCGTGCATTTGTTTAAACGTCACAAACACATGGCCGATATACTGACCACGGGCCGGCTGGCTGAATCTGGCCACTTCTCGTGGAATGGCGAAATGTGGCCACAACTCTGCAAACATGCGTATGTCTAGAACGACAGAGATGGAGACATCTTGAGGTGTATTAATAGAGACGAGTGTTTGGTTACACATTCCTCACCAAGAACCATGATCAAAATGAGATGTGAATTTGAGGGTAGAATTTGTGGTATGAAAATTCTTTGGGGCGGTGTAACCAAGGGGGATTTCTGAACATTTTAATTTTTTTAATTTTTTATTCATCTCAGCAGGTACAGCATTTATATATACATGTCATGTCAATATAATTGTGGTACATGGTTTTTAAAAAAAATGTACATCTTTCCATACAATACATTCTTTCCTGTAAAATCCACGTAATGTATCAGTGTATCACTATTCAGTGTGTGAAAGGAAGACCAAAAACTAAAAAAGTTTGCATAGTTACAATTTGTGAATGACATTACCTTTGTAGCATTGTAATAACTTTTTATCTCAGGCTGTATGTGTTCAAAATGTGGCCTTAATCCTTTGCTACATTGTCTGTATATTACTTGTTTTGTTATTAAAAGTACAATATTCAATGGGTTGTTGTGTTTGCCTTGAAATCCAAACAAAACATTTTCTCTGTTTAAATCAATGGTTCCTTCCACAACAGATTTTAACCAGATATAGTCTCTCCCAAATATTTCTTACATGTTCACATGGATTTCTGAACATTGTTTTACGCCATCTGGGGAAGGTGACACCCTAAATCAGTCAGTTCACATATGTGAACTTGTGTTCGCGTGTGTTCACACATGATAACTTGCGCTCGCTTGTGTTCACACATGATAGCATGTGTCCCCCTGTGGTCACTCATGTGGTACTATTAACCCTCTGGTAAGTTTTGAAGCTGCTTTTCTCAAATTGAATGCACCAGCTTCATCACGATGGGAGCGCGTGTAATGGGCTTCACAGAATGTACCGATGTAGAGAATCGAACACTGGCTTTCGGCTTATGAGCGAAGCTTTAACCACAAGGTCACCCCACCGCCTTCTTGATAAGGAGAAAACAACAACATTACTTGGAAGGAAACTGTATGCGACTAAGCACAAAGATGTTTTTCATTTTCTTTCCCGCTCGCGTCATTTTGTACCCCACATGCGTCGCGTAATCGTAAGGACTCTACCAAACCCAAAACACTCCTCTGAATACGGTTTTGTGTGAAAATTATACAAGTGAGTGAGTATGGTTTTACGCCGCTTTTAGCAATATTCCAGCAATATCACGGCGGGGGACACCAGAAATGGGCTTCACACATTGTACCCATGTCGGGAACCGAACCCGGGTCTTCGGCGTGACGAGCGAACGCTTTAACCACTAGGCTACCCGACCGCCCCGAAAATTATACAAAGCAAGGCTACAACGTTTGACTGCAATGTCAGTCCAAGCTAATACTGCTTTAGTCCTAGAATGTAACCTGGGACTTCGGTGTGACGGCCACTTGAACCACCTGACTACTCCACCGTTCATTATTAATGGTATAGTGAGTACGAAATTTAAGGCAATAAAAGGCATAATAATGTTGGAGTGAGATCGTGAGTGGTTGAGTACGCATGGTGTCACGTCACTTTTAATAATTATTTCGACACTATCACGACCATAGGACATCATAAATGTGATTTACACATTATACACATGTGAAGAATCGAACTCGGGCCTCCGGCGTGACGGTCACCGCTTCTCCCACTAGGCTAACCCACCGCCCTAAACCTTAAAGTAAATAAATATTCTTATAAGTATATATTTTAATAGAATTGAACCCGGGCCTTCGGCGTGACGAGCAAACGCCTTAACCACAAAGCCACGCCACTGCCCTTAATAATGTTGGAAAATACAGTGACAAGCGTCCACAAGTCTCGAGAGACGACGAACCTACTGTTCATGAAGTCACAGCAAGATCTCACGGCATGTCACCTACCGAGGTGAGCGTTCCGAGCTGTGGCCGGCTCGTGTTTGTTCTACCTGCCCCGTCAAGGCGTGTAGGTTGGTGGTCTGGGGTCGGGAGGACTAAACACTGCGTCTCCGTGACGGGGACGAAGGTTGGGGGATCGTAAACTGCGTCCATTGACCTTAAGAATAACCGGAGCTGGTTTTAGAGATAATGAGAGTCTTACAGAAGCTTTTCTGTAGGATGAACAGTGTTTACGAGGCTTTGACTCCTAGGAAATGTAATTTGTCGATCATTTAAGTAAATGGCGCTTGAAAAGATTCTTCACGAATGATGTTAACAAATATTTGTTTATTTTTAAATGGAACTAAACGACGAAGTATGACACGGATCTGTTATGGTTCAAAAGTTATTATTTATAAATATATATTGGATTGAAAGATGTTTTCATAAGAATAAGAATTACACTAATCATAACGACACCAAATGTAAAAAAAGTGTTTCTTTTCTACTATTTGACTCAAATTGAGTACAAACTTTTCTCTATATCGATCTCTGGATATTAAAAAATATTTGTTTGAAAGTTGTCATATGTTCATTACTAATCATTAGAATAAACACGTCATAGAAAGAAATCAGGCTCGTTAAAAAACATGAATGATAAATTTCACGACGCTATTTCAGTTTTTGCTGTATGTTTTGGTTCTCTGAATTTCAGACAACGTATTTCCATTACGTATAGCGGAGATTTCTAAGTCACAAATTTCAGAAGACGATTTTAAAATAATTTCTTTGTCGTAGTATTATAAAATCTTAACGCAATTTTAAGCTCTTTTGTGACATATCCAAACACATACGATTAAAAAATAATTAAAAATCTGCATGAACGGTTTGGGAAAACTAATATTTAGCTTACCCTGGGATCCTGATTTTGCTACTGAAACACCTCAAACGAGCCTCAAGCTGTTGAAATAATACAGGCTGTGACTAATTGAAAAATAGATTAGTGAGAAAGGTCAAGTTCCGTCTCGCTGCTCCGTAAAACCAAGAATAAACTTTCTGTTTGGGGTTGTCTTAGCAGTGTGGATATTGGCTGTCCTCAATTGGCTGTCCCCGATATTGGCTGTAGGTGAGAAATGTACCAGCAGCCCCTATGATGAGATAACTGTGAGTGACGAGGGTAATGCTGCTGATGGCAAGGAACTGAGTTTGGAGATAGTAAAGGCGCGACGGGTGGCTCAGATGGCTATGTGTTCTTGCGCACGATATACATGTAAGTTCATGATTCAAGTCAGGGATACTTAAGGTATTCAAGGATTTGCTCATTTTATGTTTCTTATGCTCATGATGAGATCACGTTGGCCCGCAGGTTTAATAAATCTTAGTTACCAGGTGCTTGTGGGTTCGAAGCCCAGGTTTGGTCTGAAAATGATCTTCTGTCTGTTCATACTGTCAAGCTCTTGGGTTTCGCCTACCTCACACAGTAGTCGAAGGCACTGGAATGTACTTTGCAGAGTTACGTCCCTTACATAAGTCAGGATCCACTTATCATAGCTCGAACATTATTTAAACCTGGTTATGATCCCAGTCGAATAAAAATGAAATGTTTGACTGTGGCCACCTCCATGGGAGCTCGCGTCGAGGCAACTTAATTCTCGGTACGAGCGAGTAAAACATTCAAACGAGCATATGTGATCTCTGTGTTTTAGTAAACGAAGATAGAGGAGTTTCCAATGCAAAAACAATAATGCAACATTATCATATTGTAGTTAATATTTGATACATCGTTTCTGAACACAACAGCATCTGTACCCACAAGAGTGTACTATGCAGGGAAGTATTGTGTTCTGTGGCGGTTTTCTTTGCTAAGATCTTTGTTTCTCTAAATCGAGGCGGTAGAGACATGAAACCGAATTGACATCAAGAACCCAAGCATTCTTTATTTGGGTGGTCAGATTTCGTTCAGGGTTCACCTGAAGCCACTTTCTATAGTTCTAGGGGGGCGTAGCCAGATGAAGAGTGAGGCATCGTATAGTAAAAGATCTGAGTTTATGAGGCTGATTATGATCCCTGTTTCAGCAACACCATCAGCAATATCTATGACACGCTTCACCTGGGGGTTCCCAAACGTTAATCTTAAGTGCCTTGACATAACAGAAACATATTTAAGGCGGGGTTAAACCCCAACCCATTCACTCATTCATAATCATACCATGCTGGACAAAATAGCTAAGGGAGCATGAATATTTAGGGGGAATTCTTTTGTAGTAACGACTGAGCACACAATTCCATAAAATATATCCCCCAAAATATTCATGACCCATTACTTGTTCAATTCAGTATATGTACATGTACAATACCAATCTGAACATGCAGATGAGGCGTATTCACTGTCCCCTGAGAAACGTGCTTCCGATGGAATAACATCTTGGATTAAAAGGGACTTTATATAACATCTTAGATTAAAAGGGACATTACATGTCTATGTCCCCAAGTAGTATGCTTTGTTCCTGGTTCTTCTAACCTATTACATTGCTTGAGGGTGTATAAACAAAGATGTATTTGTAAGAATAAATATTTACTTCAAGGACTAGGGCTGTGGGTTGGCCTAAAGGTCAAAGCGGTGGCCCGTCATGCCGGAGGCCCGAGTTCGATTCCTCATATGTGTATAATGTGTAAAACACATTGCTGATGTCCCTCGGTCGTGACAGTGTCGGAATATTGCTCAAAGCGGCGCACACCTATTCTCAGTCACATTCACTTGGCGGGCTACCTACATATAGGTATATTTTTCATTATGTCGTTAGGGGCGGTCGGGTAGCCTAGTGGTTAAAGCGTTCGCTCGTCACGCCGAAGACCCGGGGTCGATTCCCGACATGGGTACAATATGTGAAGCCCATTTCTGGTGTCCCCCGCCGTGATATTGCTGGAATATTGCTAAAAGCGGCGTAAAACCATACTCACTCACTCATTATGTCGTTACATACCCTCACTGGTCCTTTGATGTTGTATTCCCTGCTTGAGACCTTATCCTTCAGGGTATCCTGATCACCTGAAATACAGAAATATGATAATCTGAACAATCTGAACCTTTGTTTAAGATGAGGAATTTCTGGATTTTCATATTGTCAGAGGAGAGAACAACCTATACATGATGACAACCATTACTGACGAAATGGTGAGCCTGTGTTTGTATGTTGTTATCACGCTGCATGCAGTAATTTTCCAGTCTGGCTCTGGCGAACCAGTGATTGATATTATGAGCATCCCACGTTGTCGGGGTATGAGCAACCGAGCCTGACCGCCCGATTCATTTAGTCACCTCTCACATCATGGATTCCCGGGCGCCTGTTCTAACCGACCCGTGAAGATCCGGGTTAGAATTGGTCTTCAGCAACCCATGCTTGCCTAAAAACGCGACTAACGGGATCGGGTGGTCAGGCTCGCTGACTTGGTTGATGCATGTCATCGTGTCCCAATTGCGTGGATCGATGCTCATAATATCAATCACTGGGTTGTATGTTTCGGACTCGATTATTTACAGACCGCCATCAAATAGCTGGAATATTGCTGAGTGCGGCGTTAAACAACAACCAACCAACCTGTTCTAACATGCAAACACCACGGCGGACGGACGCAGAAACACGATAATATTAAAACAAAACATGATTCTTATTACATATGAATGAGTGTGAAAATGTTGATAACGCTGTCCTCAGAAATACTTTAACTGTATCACAGCTGTCTGTAAGTAAACGGAATTCATCGCACAAAGCGGACACCCTTAGATGTGTCGGGATCCGCTGATGGCAATTCGAAACTGATTCGTAATGATTGTGATCCTTGTTTGGTCAACACCATACCCGTGTTCATGGACTTCATCAGAACAAATCAGTGGTTGAATGCATGAACACTGAGTAACACCGTCAGGGTACCACCCACCACCACACCCCACCCCTCTAGTTACACCCCCTCCCCTCCCCTCCCCTCTCCCCCAGAATATCAAGTCACCAGTCCCTAAGCTGTCGTGAGACGAGTAATACAGTGAGTTGGTTAAACACAGCTTCATTAGTATTTCTTTTATACCACGGCGTGTCGGTTTATATGGGAGCAAAGCCCAAATTAAGGGACTCAATTTGTAAATGTTACTTTGTTGAAATGCGCGAACACAGGTATGTTGTTTACTTCACGAGAATCATCATCTTCAAGGGCAACTTTTTTCAGCTGAGTCCTAAATTTGTAGTTTTCATGAAATCATACAACAGAGAAGAATGTTTAACCACAAGTTAAAGAAACGCACCTAGTCACTTTAACAAACCAGACGTTAATATTTGTCTAAGGGTTATTAATATGACGTGTTATTATTTGCTCACATTTGAACTAAAAAAGTGACGCTGCAGGAGTCGTGTAACAAAGACACATGTTAACATACATCGGTCTAGAATGACAAAATCAATGGAATTTCTATTAATTTGTCGCGTCCAATGTTTTGGATCCAAACCATCCAAAATATTTCAATAATGTTAATCTATAATTTGACATAGAAACGCACACTCCTCCAGGATCCTTCGTTTATTTCCGGAAAAGACAAAACTGCATTGTGGGAAAATGTGACATTATCTCTGTGTTATTAATTGTTTTCTACATTGTTAAGTTAGCAGACAAAACAAAGTGATGTTTGCATGACTTGATTCAAACCTGCCTGGACTGCCAATGGCCTCCTTCAAATCTGGACAAGGCACGTATTTGAAGAATAACATTACTAAGAAAATAAAAAAAATAAGAAAATATCGGTAAAACATTCCAAGTTATTTATGTGATCGAGTATCGATTATCAATACCCCCAAATATAATTATTTGTAACATACATGCAACATGCAATCACGCCACAAATCAGGTCATTATACCAAAGTATTACAGAAGCCATTTGTACTACTTTAAACTATGTTTCAAGTTATTTCCAATTTCAAGGCGTTGCCCTCATGTTTTTTGGGTATAGAGATTTGTATGGGGACTGGCCGAGGTCTGTCCGCCTGCACGGAAACACAAACTCGGGCCGAGCCCATAAACACATTGAGAAGGATTGGTTAGAAGGCTAGGTGTATTTAGAGGCGGACAAAGTAAATTAACTCTGGTGCTTTAGTTGTTTGGTGGTAAACCTGTCACAATTGCGACACCGCTAGAAGTGGTAGCCCTTGAAGCAAGGGGGATACGTGCACTGACAAACCACGGTCTTGGTTGATATACTTTCAGCTAAAAGAACTCCTTTAACGATTGATCATGTAATGGAGAGCGTTATCGATGCGATTAACCAGTCCGATAAACTTGGCATCACGATCCGATAATTATGCAAATGGAGTCATGTAGCAGAAACTCCGTTGATAAGCCAAATACATCGATGTAATATCTGCTGCCTCAATAAACTTAGTCTATTAAAATATGTTCACATGAGGGTGCCCCGATGTCCTTGTGTTTCTGTAAACAAACATGGCGGCAAATTATTTGGCACTATATCATTATGGGGCAGTTTACTATCTCCATCGTTGTATTCATACGCAGTTTGTAAAGTTACTCCAAGTGAGAGAAAACGTCTAAACATATTTTAAGAATCCCATTATTTGAAAAATAGACTGTTACCGTCGTGTATTTCCGTATGGCCGTATGTAATGAATAATAAATAATGCATTTTTGCTCGCAAAGGCTCGTACAATACATTTGTTATTCTAGTAAACAAATGACGTGTATTCATCGTATATAACTATGTCGGTTACTACAGAGCATTCGGCAACCACGAAGTCTATGTTTAAACTGTTTATTTGTAACGCGCGATGTTGGCTTGTGGTAAGGCTCCTTGACTTTCTTTGCATTCTGGTTGATATTTGTAATCCTGGGTGTAGATGAATGTTATGTGTCGCTATAGACAACACTATTCTACCTATATCAATGGCTGTATATGCGAGTTTGAACAGTAAAACAGTGGTTGATAGCATGAGCAGCTTTCCCAAACGTTTGTTCATGCTACATGATCAGACAGGTGTCTCATTGCAGCCATCCGTTCCACAGTAGAGTTTTACAAAACACCAAGTGTGCTGTGGACCATGATGTTCACGAATACAGTTATGAACGTGTCCATAACGTGTTTTTTTAAATAAATTTAAACTGCCAGACGAAAGAAAATTTACACTTTAAAATAAGGGGGTGGTCGAGTAGCCTAGTGGTTGAAGCGTTCGCTCGTCACGCCGAAGACCCGGGTTCGATTCCCGACATGGGTACAATGAATGTCCCCCGCCGTGATATTGCTGGAATATTGCTAAAAGCGCCGGAAACCAAACTCACTCACTCACACACTATAAAATTGGATTTGACCAAAACGTTACAAACGTTATCCAGACGTTCCTAGGCTGAAAACAGTCGCCGAAACACTGCAAACTTAAGGTCCATAACACAACCATGATACCAGTATCAAATACATCACCATCGAATACTGGTAACCATTTCTTGCTCGTTTACTTTTTAGCCACCATCAAACATGGCTGTATACTCTATTTTGCCCGGCAGTTTAAATGTTTGAGAATAACATACCCCTCGTATAACGGAAACGTGGCAAATACATACTATTAGTAACTTTAAATACATTCGTAAATACGAAAACGAAGGGCTTGAATGATCCGCCTGCTTTTTGTTTGATGAATAATTCAACAGAGGTCATGATCCACAATGTTTAAATCATGTTTTTATCCAAAGGAAATGTTTGTGATTGGGAAAGGTGCTCCTTGCGCTGTTTATCCGGCGTGCAAGCCTACAGAAAAATCCTGAACAAATAGTGTGTATGGTACGGGGCACTGCTCCCGGGAGCGCCACGTTAAGTGTTAAAAACATGCACACGCATTTACCCAAGAGCGATCAAGTTAAGATTACACAGCACCTGGAGGAACTCGGGAGATGCAGTAGATGAGTGTCATGGGGGATTCAGGAAAGACAATGTGTCAGTAGTTATGTCAAACATGGTACGCAGAAACCATCGTTATTACATCGCAGCAATACATTGTCAACACATATGCCTGGCCCTATGTATGGGACGGTGGCGACCTCGTTAAGCATTTAACACGTTAATGCCACTTATTAACGATGCATTTACAAAAACAGCAAATGTCAAATATTATCAATACGAGTAATGGAAACATGAGGACAGTGTTTGTCAATCTATTTAATAGTAGTTTGGACAGTACCATTTACAAAGAAGAGAGTGAATACTTGACGCTTTTTTATGGATAGCAATTTCTTATAAAAAACGTTTCAGAGCTACTGCTTGCTCCGTCATCAGGTGAATGCCTAGAAAGCGCTCAGAGTACTATATATTTAAAAATCAGGATGTTTACACAACACAAGGTGGGATGAATGTACAAAGTTGGAGAGAGTACCAAACCTGTTACTTTACTTTTGATACGTGTTACAGTCGGACAGAGGGACACTGACAGCGTTGAATCATTGCCTACATACTTCACAACCTTATCGAGATATTGCAAGTACGTGTAAATGAAGTCAGCTTACACCTAAACCGTAATTAAACCATTATTCATCTGTGGCACCCCAAGAGACGCTAAACAGAGTATATGAGACGCATAATGTTATTGTCAACATAATTCAGGACAATTTGACATCTGCCGAAACTGACTCTATATCGCGTAAAAGACAAAAGTGTGAAAAAGTATGTGAATGGATCACTGAAAATCAGTGATGGTACCAGGCGTACGCGTGGGGGTGTCTTTTTTTTAGTCTATATATATTTTTGTCTGCTACATTTGCAAAACCAGATATTTTCGAAGAGTCTAAATATTTTTCTAACAAATAACACAATGCAACAATGTATTTTTTGTGGCAGACAATCTACTTTTCCACAGTCTGAATGAAGCATAACTATTTTTTTCAAGCATCTTCTGGGTCAATAATTTCTTTGGATAAAATCACGAAAAGGACTCATATCCTACTTCGTCCTTTCTCAAATGTTGTTATTACCACCGATGTATTTTTCTCATTCAAATGGTTAAGATC